CGGAAATTATATTTTCCTACATTATGCATTTCGGTCAAACAGGACACTTATATAATGTCTTCTTCGGGTGCCCACTTTCTTTTTGTTTGCTTAACACTTTTAGAGCCAATGGTTCAGATGTAGGGGGGAAGCCATTCTTAACTACAAATAAATTGAATAATAAATTATTCATCAAATTTAAACACATTACATTGTTCATCAACCACATTACAAAAAACACCAAATCACAAAATCAAACATCAATGAACATGTCCTTAATTTCTATATGTTATCCATTCATTGAACATGTTATTTGCTAATTTTGTCCTCCATTATTCTAGACTTCTGAAGGCTTTATTTGTGTAACATCATCATCTTCATGTATGTCGTTACCTTGTACGAATTCATCTTCCATAGGATCAACATTCATCTCATTTCTAATAAAATTATGCAGCAAACAACATGCAAGTATAATTTTGTTATGTATTCTAACAGGATAAAATGATGGGCTTCTACGTATAGTTTATCTCATTTTCAATAACCCAAAACAGAATTCTACGACGACATTGCGAGCAGCTGCATGTTTCATATTAAAGAACTCTTGAGGAGTTGTTGGTTGATAACCTTGACGCTATTCATTTAAGTGGTACCTTTGACCTCTAAATGGTGCCAAAAATCCCTAATTATTAGCATATCCTCCGTCAACTAAGTAGTAACAACCTAGAAACATAAGTTTATAGTTTAATAAGAATGCATATTATATTACATGATATTTGGAATTTAATATTGAAAAAGCTCGTGGATCTTGAATGCAAGAGATAACCTAAAGGTTCCTACTAAATTTTAATTCAATTATTAAGCTGGACTAGCTCCAGGATCTACTCCAGACAGAATAAAAAAATTAATTATAAAAGCAATAAATGGAACCGTGTACTAGGAAATGTTCACGCAGTTCGGAGCCTCACTCTTACGTCTGCGGGGCCACTCACGTCAGCCCAATCCACTAGATGATCAACAAGGAGTACAAGGGGAAGTACATTACACACTAAAGCATAAACTACACTACTCCAGCGCACTACTCCCGCGCCTACTCCAGCATCACCATGGACTTGACGTGCGGTTATCTTCATCACAACTTAAATCAATTGAGAAACCTTCACCACTTGGATATATTGATAGAATAACTAGAGGAGGATTTTAGGAATGGAATATAGAAAAAAAAAATCCTTTTTTTCTTCAAGTTAATAAGAATCACAAAGTAGCAATTTATAGGAATAAATTGATAACTTCTTGGTCTGAAAAATTGCAGCCTTCAAATCCTCCAATTAAGCTGCATCACCTGATTTAAAAAGCCATGGAAGTAGGGTCTTGACCATAATAAAAGTTTGAATAAGTCTCACCTTTCCTGGACTGCATCCTGGCGCTGATCCAGAGCCTAACAACTTGAATTTTGACAACTAATAATGCCAACCAAAAATGGGTTTTCTGTGTAACATTTTTTTAAACTTACAAATATTATAATGCTTACCATTAGGGACCTTAAATTGATGCCTTCTAATAACACTGCGTAAAAAGAAAAAAAAAAAAACAATAACGCTGCGTCAAAAAAAAAAAAAAAACAATAATATTGCTGCGGCATGGAGGGTTCCGTAGCCGCAGCAGTGTGTGTGTGTGTATAATTAAATATATAAATAATTAATTTGTAAAAAATAAAATTCAGAAGAATACCTTTGTTTTAAGCTTTAGTTTGATGTAGATGAGGGAAGGAATTGCAAAGATTGATGCAGATGATGAAAAGAATAGTAAAGACTGATGTAGATGGGGAAGGAATCGCAAATGGTGAAAGGAATTGCATATTTCGAAGGAATCGTAGAGAGAGAACGATAGAAAGATAGGCTATGCAAAAAGGGTAAAATTGAAAAAATAAAAAATAAAAAATCTATTCTTGAGGATTCAGGAATAGTTTAATACCGGGGGAGGGGGTGGGGGGTGGGGGCGGTAATAATTATTACCTTATTTGGGCGAATGGGTTATTACTAGGAATATTATTCCTGGTAATACAAATGGTTACCAAGCAAATGAATACACCCATTACTAGGAATGCTATGTCATTCCCGGCCTATTCCGTGAACCAAACGGGCCATTAATGATTTAAGCTATTACCCTAAGGGGGCACGGGGTCTGACCTCGCTCGCCATGCGAAGGAAGAATTTAACGGCTCGGGGTCGAATGACTCGGGTTAGAAGGCTACCCTAAGGGGGCACGAGGTCTGACCTCGCTCGCCACCCGATGGAACTTAACGATTTAAGCTACAACCCTAACGGGCACGAGGTCCGTCCTCGCTCGCCACCTGACGGAAGAGGTCTTGGTCTAAGGGGTACCTTGGACCAAGCAACTACACCCACTACGAAAAAAAAAAAAAAATCAAATTGCAAAGCTAGTCCATGGCTGGAGGTCCGACCTCCAGGAAGAGCCCAAGTTCCGGGCTTGTGCCGAAAAACGGGGATATTCACCAAGTATATTCATGCACGACCAAGGAGGGCACAGGGGGACTCGAGCTTAACCCCCGCCCCCTCCCCCCCCCCCCCCCCCCCCCCCCCCCCCCCCCTCCCCAAGGTGGCCGTAGCTGGGGTAGTCCCGGCTAGAGGCGATCTCAGCTAGGGTGGCCTCGGCTAGGAACAACCTCGAGCCCAGCTCTCTCTAACAAAGGTTGCCAAGAAAAAGCTAGTTGCCAAGAAAAAGCTAAATGATCAAGCAAGAAATTTGGATGCTATGTATATAGTCTGACTACTTAATTGACCAAAGTTCATGTTAAATTTTATACTGTATTATTGTATTTTTAATACACTCTAAAACCTTCCTTATGAAAAATCGACGAGTAAGTTAAAAATAATAAATTGTTAAATAAAATTTTTCATTATTAAAGTTTACACTGACGATGTGTATGGGTATTTAGAAAAATTAAATGATGTAATAGAGGATAAGTAAAAAAATACTAAAATAAAAAATATTCTGGACTTTTTTTGTTCTCTTTATAAACATAAATTCATTTGTTCTTATATTAGTATTAGTATTAGTGTATTAGTATTACTATAGTAAAAGAGAAAATGACACATTTTTCCCTGAAATATATGCATATAGCACATTTTCTCCCTGAATTATTCATATAAGCATATTAACCCCTTCAATTATTTTAAAGGTGGTGAGTTTCCCCTGATATATTAAATTGACATTTCTACTTTTAAGATAAACATTTTATTTATTTTTCTTCTCCAACAAATTATTACTTATAGGTAGGGATGATTACGGTTCGGCTCGAACTTAACCGAACACTATAACAATTGCATTGATAGTTTCTGGTTATGATTCAGATCCAAAATCTAATATTTGAATTTTAATTTATTAAAATTATGAATCAGAAAAATTGGATCCTGAACCGTGAACCGGCGGTTACGAATTCGGTTCGCGATTTTGAACCGTCTTTATTTTAAAATTTTATTTTTTATTTTTAAATAACTAAATTTAACAATAAATGTATTTTTTTTTCCAGTTCAGAACGTGAACTAGCGATTCCACTTCGCGATTTTAATAAACTCTAAAGATCAAGTTTCGATTCTAAATTATAATTGAAATTCAGTTTGGCTGCTATACTGTCTCAATTTGAACCAAATCATGACCATAATTTATTGGAGAAGAAAAATAAATGAAATATTTATTTTAAGGATAAATATGTCTATTTAATATTTCAAGAGAAAAAACAGTCATTTAAATAATTCAGAAGAAAAAAGTACTATAAATATATAACTCAAAAAAAAAAATACAACTTTCCTTTAGTAAAATTTTATTAGCTCTTACTAATATATATAATATAATTAGTCTTTTATATGTACAAAAACATATGCTCAATATTTATATTTTTAAAAATAACTACAAATCTTTACTAATTAAAATTTATATGAAATTAAATTTATTCTAAAAATATTAATATCATTAAAGAATATAAGAAAATATATAGTGGATACATAATGAAAAAGATAACGGAAGTTATAACAGTAAAGATATTTTTATCTAAAAAATTATATTATATAATATAAATCTATAAATACAATGTACAAAATAATTAGCACTAAAATTGTTTCTCCCTTTCAAAAAAAAAAAAAAAAAAAAAAAAAAAAAAAAAAAAAAAAAAACACTAAAACATGAACCTAAATTAGGGATACAACTTTGATTTACGTTATTATATTTTTAGATTAGATACAATAGAAATAAGGGAAAATGACACTTTTTCCCCCTGAGTTATATACCTATAGCATTTTTTTCCCCTAAATTATTGAAGTGACTGTTTTTCCCCCTGAAATGTTAAATGGACATATTTACCCTTAAATTAAATATTTAATTTATTTTTTTTCTCCAACAAATTAGCAACCAAACCGAAATATTCCAATTACAATTTAAAATCGAAATTCGATATTTAGAGTTTATTAAAATTGTGAACCGGAACGGACGGTTCATGTTCCAAACTGAAAAAATAAAATACATTTATTGTTGAATTTAGACTATTTTAAAATAAAAAATAAAATTTTAAAATAAAAAAGGTTCAAAATTGCGAATCGGATCCTGAACCGCCGGTTCACGGTTCAAGATTCAATTTTTTTGATACATAATTTTAATAAATTGACATTTAAATATTGGGTTCTAGATCTGAATTATAACCGGAAACTATTAATTCGATTGCTTTAGTATCCGGTTCAATTCAAACCGAACCGTGGTCATCCCTACGTATACGCAATAATTTGTTGGAGTAGTAAAATAAATAAAATGTTTACTTTAAAGGTATAAATGTCAATTTAATATATCAGGGGGAAAAAGCACCACTTTTAGAATAATTGAGGGGACTAATATGCTTACCTAAATAACTGAGGGGAAAAAAGTGCAATAAGTATATAACTCAGGGGTAAAAAGTACCATTTTCTCTAGAAATAATACATGAATTAAGTGCTTACAATTATATCCCAATAAAAGATCAACTGAACACCATTCACTTAGCTTATTATTATTATTTATTAACCAAACGAAATACATTTTGTGGTTAATTTATAACATGTTAGCAAATACAAAAGCAGTTATAATAAGTGAGGAATCTACAACGCTCCGACCACCGGAGCTCCCATCTCTACTCGGCAGTCGTCGTCGGCGGTATCGTCTTCCTCCGTTTGCCACAAGAAGTGCGCGTAAGATCCCAACACCGTACTGTCATCAATTTTAATTTCAGTCTCAGCTCCAATAGTAGTTTCAATTTGAAATCACATATTAATATTAAATCGCAGTGTATAAACTTACCAGTCGTCGGGAGAAGCATGAACAGCTTGATCGAAGTAAGATTTGGCTCTGTCCTCGTCGCGTTCAGTTTCCCATATCAATTTCCCGTACAGGGAGAGCACTTCTCCGTCTCCGGGGCTTGCCAGGATCGCTCTTCCGTAGTATTCTTCCGCTTTTACGGTATCTCCTTCCACCTTGTATCAAATCAAAAGTTTAATTAAGCGAAAATCGCTGATCGGGAAGTGATAATGATGAATTCGAATTGAAATGTACCTCGTGCAAGTACTTAGCATAGTTTCTTAGGAGGACAGAGTCAGTAGGGTTTGACTTGATCACTTCCTGATAATACGCTCCGATTTTGCTCCGATCTGCGTTACCGCCGTCTCGGCCACCGCCGCCGCCGGTGAACTTCCTGTTATTACCAATCCCGCCGCCAGGAAACTCATTCTCCTGCCAGTCTCCGAAGCAGTTGTTCCGATCATCCGAAAAACTGAAGGATCCAATACGAGTGAGCACAAATAACGTTTCGTCGTCGTCGTAACTGGCACACTCTTCTTCCGGAATTCTCTCCGGCTTAAACAACTTCTCAGCTCCGGCAACGGCTTTGATCTCCGACCGGATCACGTCAGACTCAGACGACGTCCGACGTATGCCCCGGCGGTTGGGCTCGAAATGCACAGAAAGTCTCGGCGACGAAGCGCTTTTCTTCACTCCGGCGAGAGATTCCCGAGGCGAAGGCGAGATCCTAGGAGAATCGGGAACGAAGGAGCTCCGGGCCAGGACTGAACCGGAACCGGTTCGTAACAGAACGGTCTTCATAGGCGCTATCGAGTTCAATGAAGAGAAAGCAAAGGAGTTTTGGTAGTGGAGATCGAAAAGCTTGAGCTGGTGATAATGTATAATATACATAACTGACGGCGTCTAAATGGCGTTAGATGACGGCGTTGACTGGGAAGATGGGGATCTGAGCGACACGTAAAGGGCTGCACGTGAGGGAGGGGCACATGTTACGTGACCGGTTGCATAGCGGGTGGGGTCAACTTTTTGGAGCTTTCCACGTGGTGCGAAGTATGCGTGATTTGCGACACGTAGGCACAGATCCGGACAAACTAGTTTCTGCTGTACGGATATGAACGCGATTTTTTTAGTTTTATTTGCCCACTGATTATGATTGGATATGGACGCCATTTTTTGTTTTTGGTTTTATTTGCCCACTGATTAGTGTTTAGAGGCTCACCTCAGTGCCTGTGGATGTCGGCGAGCCGTAGATTGTCCTTGCTCTGGTTTTGGCGAGTTGAGTTTTCGATTGTGGACAGGAAATACATTTTGTGCTTAGATTAGTCCCTTCTAGTGCTTTGATAGTGTCAAATCACTGAAAATAACATTTATAGCACGTTTGGTTCTCTTCTAGTACATTCTAGTGCATTGATTGTTTCATCCCCTTATGGTAGTCCGGTCCTTTAAAGGAGACAAAAACCCATTTAGACTTAAGAAGAATGATAAGGATGTACTAGGACATAAAGTTTCTTACGCAAGTGTTATTGGAGTTTTGCTTTACCTAGCTAGTTACACTAGACTTGATATTACTTTCTCGGTGAATTTACTTGCTAGGTTTGGTGCCTCTCCAACCAGAAGACATTGGAGTGAAGTAAAACATATCTTTAGATATCTCCAAAGAACAAAAGACCTCGGTCTTTATTTTGAAAATAACCAAGCATTGACGGTCTACTCAGACGCTGATTATATGCTTGACTCTCATAATGCTAAATCTCATACTGGTTATGTTTTCCTTTGTGGAGGTACAACTATATCTTCAAGGCCCATTAAGCAGACTTCAGTTGTTACCTCATCCAATCACTCGGAGATAATTACATTATATGAGACCTCACGTGAATGTGTATGGCTGAGGTCATTGATACAACAAATCCATAGCTCATGTGATATAATGATTAATGAGCAAAGTTGATTCTCCCAATTTTCTATATGAGGACAATGTGACATGTGTTGCATAGATGAGTAGTAGGTACGTTAAAGGAGACCTTACAAAACATATTGCTTCAAAGTTCTTTTACTCACATAAACTCCAGAAGAGTGGTGAAATACTCATTGAGAAAATTAGTTCTAGTAGAAACCTAACAGATTTAGTCATTAAATCCCTACCTACATCCATCTTTGAGAATTATGTTTATAAAATCAGGATGCGAAGGCTTAGAAGACTATTGTCTTCAGGATGAGTGATAAACCCTAAGGGGGCGTTTGGTTCACGGAATCTTGGATTACCCCAGGTAATAGGATTACCTCCTGGAAGGTAATGTGAGATTTTGGGAATGTAAGATTACCTTCTGGGGGCGTTTGGTTCAGGTTATATAACATAACCAAGGGAATGTGACATTCCAAAGCTCACATTCCTATGTTTGGTTCACATTATAGCACGGAATCTAACATTCCCCAGGAATGTCACATTTCCTCCACATAGGATTTTGAAGGGAATGTGATTCCCTTCAATTTCTAAGGTTATGTAAGATAACCTTGGTTATGTTAGTTTATTACACACACACACAAATATATAATTATTTTTGTAATTATATATTTTTTATTTTTATTATGTTAGGTTAGCATATAAAATAATTTTGTTTCTCAAGTTCAATATTTTAGTTAATATTTTAAAATCATGTAATTATATATGTACCGTTATCTTATTTATTTATTTTAATTTTTAAATTTATTAAAATATATGAAAATATGTTAAGGATATTATAGTGTGTGAATAAAAGATAACCCTAAACCAAACATGATTATATTACATACCCCAATTTTAACCAAACACAGGAATCTAACATTCCCAATAATCTAACATTCCCAGCAATCTAACATTCCCTATGGTAATCTGACATTCCGTGAACCAAACGACCCCTCTGTGTTTGGTTTGGATGGTGTAATATAATATTACCTTGTTTGATTCAGGGTTATATTTTAGGTTATATGGATCAATTTACAATAATGTCCTCATTAATACATATATATATATATATATATATATATATATATATATATATATATATATATTTTGAAACCAAAAGAAAACTTCATTACTAATTTAAAAGATTGGAAATACAATCAGGAGGTACAACAGACCAAGACCTCAAGCCAGACGAAGAATCAGTTGCCCGTGTCAACACGTGGGCCACCTGATTCGCTGATCTCTTGACATGGCGGACCACAACGTCCCCAATGTCTCTAGCAATTTGTACACATTGCTTCACAACAAGACCTACATACGACAAATTCAAATTACAGGAATTAAAAGCATTACAAAAAATTAAGCAATCCGACTCCAGGGTCACATGATTAAGTCCTAGGTCACGAATCCAAATAAACGCCTCCTTGGCCGCATATGCTTTCGCCATCAGGGGATCACGATCGCTCACTAACCAACCATTCTTTGCTGCCAGAAAACGACCCTCGTGGTCTCGTATTGCCGCCCCGAAGGTCACACCCGTAGCCAACAATGTGGCATCTACATTACATTTCACCCATTGGATCGCAGGCCGTTCCCAAAGCACATTCTCGACCCTGCTAACCGATGACCGTTTGTAGCTCTCGTTCCAGGTGCTAATCAGTACCGAAATATGAATGCGTAACTCCTCCACCGTCCACGTCTTTCCGTGCCACACTCTATCGTTACGCGCAGTCCAGAGCAACCAAATGGTGGCTGCCATGCGAACTGCTGCCTCCGGATGGTGAGCTGCCAGCCTTGATTCAATGAAAACTGGCATGGACAATCCTTGAAGCACATCATCGTTCCTCCAAGCTTGTTTAGCAAACCAGCACTCCCCCAACAGATGCTCAGTGATTTCGGCATGTTGACCGCAAAGCGGGCAACCTCCCCCGATCCAGATATGCTTCGCCTTAAGATTCTCATGGACTGGTAAAATTCCACGAACACAACGCCACAGCAAATGACGAACTTTCGGCGGAACTGGAAGTTTCCATAGTTTCTCCCACGCTTCGAAGCCCTCACTATTCACTGACGCAGCCGCACCAGCCGTTAAGAGCCCGTACCCGTGTTTTACTGCATACATGCCACTAATGTCGCCCATCCACCGCCAAGTGTCATTTAGATGAGCCGCTATGGGGGTACGCAAAATTCTCCGGACATCTGATTCATCAAAAATGTCTCGGAGCACCTCGGCGTCCCAATGCCCACGACTATCCATCAGGCCATTCACCAACGCGCCGCGTAAAGGACTCACCGGGGCAGTACTGAGGACTGGATTGGCAGCATCGGCCAACCACGGCCAACTCCAAATCTTCGTCTCCTTGCCGTCTCCAATGCGACGTGCTAAACCCTTACGCAAAACATCCTGTCCTGCTAGAATGCTCCGCCACAAGTAACTTGGATTATGTCCAATGACCGCGTCCATAAAGCTGCATGTTGGGAAATACTTCGCTTTAAGCAATCTGCTAACCAAAGACTGAGGTGTGGTCAAAATCCGCCATCCTTGCTTGGCCAGAAGAGCAATGTTGAAATCATGTATTCTCTTGAAGCCCAAACCACCTTGGCATTTCAGTATACTTATGCGGAACCAACTCATCCAATGCACTCCACGACTATTAGATTTGCCACCCCCCCACCAATAACGGTTGAACATTTTTTCAATTCTATCACACAGTCTGGCTGGAAGCAAAAAAACGGACATAGTGAATATGGGAAGAACCTGGGCAACACTCTTAATCAGTACTTCTTTACCTGCTTTAGATAATAGCCGCTGTTGCCATGATCCCAGTCTTTCTCGGACCTTATCCTCGATAAAACGAAATGTGGCCGACTTGTTTCGGCCTAGCACCGACGATAGTCCTAAGTACCGGCCGAAATCATTCGTCTCACGCACACCCATGCAATCAGTAACCATAGTTCTCACCTCAGTTCCCGTGTTCGCGCTAAACATAGCGCTGGATTTATCATAGTTAATCAGCTGTCCCGACGCTGTGCTGTACTGGTCTAGGCACCCTTTAATAGATTGTGCTTCAGCCTGAGTAGCCCGGAAGAACAGAAGGCTATCGTCCGCGAAAAATAAATGTGTTATCGCCGGAGCCCCTCGTGCAATTCGTACCCCATGAATGGCACCACACGCCTCCGCCTGTTGTAGCAACACGGATAGGCCTTCCGCGCAAATTATAAAGAGGTACGGGGAAAGCGGGTCGCCTTGGCGGATGCCTCAGGTAGGACACACCGTCCCCACTCCTTCCCCATTGACCTGAACAGAGTACCTGACAGTTAAGACACAATGTAAAAGCAAATCAACCCAACGACGCTCAAAACCCAGAGCTTGCAACATTCCTTCCAGATAGTGCCACTCTATTCGGTCATATGCCTTGGCCATGTCGAGTTTAAGGGCCGCTCAACCCATATTCCCGTGGGTCTTGCGTCGCAGAAAATGACCCACCTCCCCGGCTACAATAACGTTATCTGTTAGTAGCCTATCGTGAACGAAGGCACTCTGAGAGGCCGAGACCACCAAGTCCAGCACCCCTTTCAGTCTATTTGCCAACACTTTCGCAATTACCTTGTAGGCAACATTGCACAGGGCTATCGGACGAAGGTCCGTAACCTTCTTTGGTGTTCTCTTCTTGGGAATCAACACTATGTTCGAGTCATTCAGTCCAGGTGGGAAGACACCCGTATTAATGCAATTAAGCACGAACATAGCCAGATCGTGTCCCAATACTGGCCAGAAGTGCTGATAAAAGCCTGGCGTCATTCCGTCTGGTCCCGGGGCTTTGTCCGGGGCCATTGAGAATAGAGCAGATTTGAATCAGCCACCGTAAACGGTTGTCTGAGAATCATATTCATATCATCGGTCACCCTCTGGGGAACCCGATCAAAAAAATT